TCAGCTCCTTAATAACCCAGCTGACCAAGGGCTCCCCCAAGGGTCGTAATTCATGGCAGACGGTCCCCTTGCCCCCTTCCTGCACTGACAAGGGCCACGGTTCCCTTGGCAGCCAGCCGGCCATGCCCAGGCCCCTGCCGGCATCCGGCCAGGAGCTGAGCTCAACGGGGCACAGAGGGTGCCCCCACTCCCCTGGGGCAGAGCCCTCCTTCTCTAACAAAGCTCTCGGCAGTGTAACGACATTCCCCCCCCCACACACACACACATCCCCCCCTCCCAGGCACAGCCGGCACCCTGCAGGGCCCCAGGGGCCTTCTCTCTTCCCCGTTTCGAACCCGGCTGCTGTTCCCCTGCAGGGAGAAGGCGCCCCGTGGGGCTGCCCTGCCACCGGAGAGCTGAATAATTCGCTGGCGCGGGTTCCGCTCAGCGGGACTCGTGTGCCGGATTCCCAAGGGCTTCCGAGTGTGTGATCCTCCAGGAGAGTGTCCGGCTCAGCTCCCCTTCCCCCACCCCCACAAATCACACACCGGGTGGGGGGGCAGAGGGGGCACCTTTCGGTCAGTAGCTCCCTCTTCTGGTTGGCGTTTAGAGGCAGAACTCCTGGGTTCTCTTCCCAGCTCCAGCAGGACCTGGACCCAATTCGGTGCCTCGCCTTGTGCCTCAGTTTCCCTCTCTAGGGAGGAGAATGACGAACATCCTGGCCCTCTAGCTCAGGCAGCAGAGACTGGGGGAGCTGGGTGTAGAACCCGTAGCCAGCCCGACGCAGGGATCTCATTACAGCCCTGGAGAAGGGTAGGGCTCGCGGGGGCCACGGGCATAGTGGGTTAACGCAGGCAGAAATACGCAGCCTGGCCCAGACACCGCCAGGGTCAATAACACGCTGCAAAGGGCTGGGGGCGGCCGGCTCTGAGCACTAGCTGGATTGCAGGAACTCCCTGGGGGCCCTGCTCAATCGAGCTACCTGTTTATCCTCCGCGTGAGGCAGGGCAGCGGGAGTGTGCCCATCTTGCAGAGGGGGAAACTGAGGCACCGAGGGAGTGTGGAGGAGAGCTGGGCGTTGTCCCCCTGGTCTCTTGGGTTATTGCTGCGCGACAGTCCCCTCCTCGAGCCTGCAAAGCCATTCTGCCCTGGGGCCCGTTCCAAGGTACTTGGACATGCAGGCGCGGCTGGAAATCTGGGCCCCGTGGCCTCTCCCCAGCCTGCCATCCAGGAACCAGCCGGTACCTGCCTCTGCAGCAGCTAACCCCCCTGAGCCCTTGGAGCGAGGCTGGGGGAGGCGAGGGAGAGGGGGAAGACAAACAGAAGGTGAGTGGGGGGAGTAGGGGGGATGAAATTCCTCAGCATGGGGGTGGGCAGGGCAGTTACCTGATAACCCCCATGGAGCACCAAGTTAACCTCCTCGCTGGGCAGCGTAATGGGAGACCGGCCGAGCGCCAGCGGGAATGGGTCCAGGGGCTGGCACTAAGGGCGGGTGGAGGCAGGACGCCTGGGTTCTATTCTCGTCTACATCCTCCTCGTCCCCCTTCGCCCTCCTGCAGGGGCTGAGAACGCCTCCAGAATAGCCACTCGCCCAGCCCGGCGGTTAGTATTGTCTCCAGCAGCTGAGGAAACTGAGGCCCAGAGAGGGGGAGGGGAGGCGATTGAGATCCTCCCCCCCCCCCCCCACCGGAGTCAGTGGTAGACCAGAGAGAAGGACCCATAAGTGCTGAGTCCCAGGCCTCCTTGCTCTAACCACTACACCCCACTGTCTGTATTTCCCCGTCTCCTTGCCGTTAAAGGCCTCGCTTCAATGCAGCCTCTTGACCTGCCCGGACAGAACAACTCCTGGGCCCTGGCTTGTGCCCCCGGCTCAATGCCTCTCAGCAGTGCCCAAGGGCTCTCCGAGCGGCAGCCTTGGCGCCATTCATGCCCCAGCCAGCCGGCGTCGCCGTGCCAGGCTCCGCGAGACGGGCCACCGCAAATGAAAGCCATAAACAACAATGGGTGGGGAACCATAATGGCCGCGGTGCTCTCCGGAGCGGTCATTAGGGGAGGGGTGCGTGTGTGTTGGGGGGGAACGCTGATATTAATTAACTAGGCCTCCTCTGGCCGCGCTCGTCTTTAATTAACATCCTGCGGCTGCAGATGCTGCCCCGGCCGCGTGCCGAGCGCCAGCGCAGTGCGTGAGTCCCATTGTTCCCCTGGCCGCCGGCGTGTTCTCCGGCGGCTAACCCCGAGTCGAGGGCCTGCCGGAGCGTGCCCAAGGCAACGCCCAGGCGTGGGAGAAGCGGCGCGATCGTGGGGAGGAATAAACAAACGGGCCGGGAGGTGAAGGGGACACACCGGGCAGTGAGGCAGCCGGAGTTTGCCAGCTCCCCTGGCTGCCTCTCGAGTCCCGGGTAGGAGCCGCTCGCCGTTCCCCGGCCGCTCGTCCTGCTAGCCCGTCTCTGCCCCCGGTCCCGGTTTGAGTTCCTTTGCCCGTGGCTGCCTCAGGCTGCCCAGTGCAACTCCCCCAGGCTCGAAAGGCAGAGAACAGATTGTAAAGACCCCCGAAGGGGTAGTATGATTAAGCCAAAGGGCTCGAGTTTTTTAATCTCTCTCCCTAGCTAAAGCAGCGTCTCTCTCTCGGCCAGGGGCTTGTGACCCCGGGGAGGGGGCGAGAAAAGCAATTGGGAGAGGGAGGGGCAGGAGGCATTGAAAATGCGGCTTAAAATCCCGCTGCTCCCCTCCCCGGGCGCCCGGACCCTCTGGCGACCTCTCAAAACAAGATCAGCCTCCATGGGTCTTGCCAAGCCGAAAAGTCTGGTCTAAGGCCTGGCCCCGGGCCGCTACCGAGGTGTCTTGAGCATCAGGGTTGTGGCCTCAACCCCCCGGAGTCAGACCATTAAGAACGTCCCACATTTTGGCGGTGCGTCTCTGGACCCCGGGCGCTTCTGAGCCCCCACACCCCGATTTCGCTCTTTCGCCGCCTGCTCCCACCTTTCCCGGCGCCTGGGAAGTCAACCTTGGCTCTTCCTCTGAGAAAGTCATGTCGGTGTTTGGAACTTCCAGCCGCTAAAGAGAAACTTACCGTGAGCTTCATCGCCACGGCACTTACGGTTGCTGGGTTACAAGGGCTGGGAGTTTTAATTGTCTCCGCTAGGAAAACAGGAATAAAAGACAAACCCCTCAATTCGGTGGAGACTCGGCTTTCGTTCCGTTCTGCTCGGATGGAAGTGGGGGCGCTGCATTCGGCTCCTGGGATCTGGGGGGCAGAGAGCAGCCCATAATATTCAAGGTCTGGGTTAGCTTTGTCCTGTTCACTAGGGAGATGGGGCCGGGTCCATCTCTGGAAATCAGTGGATGGATTTGCAGGCAGGGTGGGGTGTAACAGCAAAGGGCATGGAGAAGGGAACGGGAGAAGAGTGCTCTTGGGAGTGCGGAAAATGGGGAGGGGAAAGCCCATTCTCGTTGTGTGCCTGTGCTTGGGGTGGCGTGAGCAGCTTCCCACACCGGGCTCTTGTGAAATACGCCGGTGCGACAGGCGTGACGCACCAGCTGGCGGTTGTAGCCGCCAACAGAAGACATAGGCAGTTAGATCTTGGAGAAATGCTGCGCGGTTAGTTGTGGTGCAGTTCTTTCCCGGAGCTGGCACGCAGCCGTAAAGTTTCATCCACGGCCCGCCTTGAGACTAACGAGCTTGGGGTTCAGGGCGGCGGCCTTGTGGGATAGCCCCATGCTTGCCAAAACATTGTTCTTGGCATGTGGACAATGCAGCTGTCCCCAAGGGTGCAGATGGAGGCAGCAGGAGACTCTCTCCTACCCAATTCCTGTCCTGACGGGAGGATCTCCCGCTTGGAACAGCTCCGGTTGCTGCTTTCCCATGTGCTTATCCAGCGCCGGCTTGGGGTTGAGATAAGAGAAGCTCTGGCTTGGCTTGTCCCAGAACAGGCCTTCCCCTTGGCGCTCCCTGAGAGGTGCCTCTACACCCAGGTGGATGCTCTGTTCATTCTCTCGCGGGCCTCCAGCCCCACCCGACTCCGCTCACAAGCTGCCGGGGCCCCTGCAGCCTGCAGCCCCCGACAGACCGAGCGCCCGGGGCTGCGTCAGCGTCTGGAGGCTCCGTGGACCCGCCTGGCAGAGGCTCGGGGTGCAGAGACTGGGGTGAGCAGCCCACGGGGTGGGGGCAGTTGGCGTCAAGACACCTTGAACACGGGGGCGAACTTGGGGGCTGCTCTGAGTTGCGACCTGGGCCCGCAGTGCACAGTGGCAGGGGCAGCCCTCGGCCCTGCCCCCCCGCCCCTCTTTGCCTCTGCTCTTGGCAGGGCTTGTGGGGGGTGGGGGGATCAGCAGAGAGCGGCACGCCGGGGGTGGGAGCAGAGACGCCGGCGGCTTCCCGTCGAGCAGCGCCCAGAGCCCAAAAGGGGGTGGATGGCCCACAGCCTCAGGGCCAGCATTGCCCGTTCCCGGTGGGGGTCAGATATGAGGACTCCCCCACCCTCCCTGTGTCTGTGGAACGAACCGAGTCTCCCCCCTGCCCCCAGCAGTGGGGGACAAAAGGAGCGTTGACAGCCGCCCTTTCTCTCTCCTTCCGGGGGGTCAGCCCCATCCGGGAAGGGCCCGGCTACTGCCTCAAACCCCACAGCATCCGCTCCCCTCGCGGCTACCCCCGTGACCGGCCGGGGGCTGGAACCATTTGTATAGTGGGGGGCCGGGGGCTGAGAGCCATTGAACCAAAGTGTAAACCCGGCAGGTAATGGACACCACATCAAAGGTGTGTGTGTGCGCGTGTGTGTGTGTGTGTGTGCGCATGCAGTGGGGATCTGTGTGCGAGGGAGATGCTGGAGGGGTGTAACGTGGGGGGGGGCCGCTGGCGCGTGTGCCAGTTGTGTTGGGGGGTGACTGGCGTGTGTGTAATGTGCACGCGGATGACAGGGTGTGTAACGCGGGGGTGGGTGTAATGTGGGGGGGCCGACCTAGACCCCTCCCCCGCTGGGTCCCCCCATTGGTGGCTCTCCGTCTCCCTCCCCAGCCTAGCCCCAGCCCCTATTAAACCCAGCTGAGCCGGCAGCGCAGGACTGTTCATTACGGTGACTGGAGGCTGCTCAGCGTCTGAGAGCAGCCCGGGAACGCAGCCACCGCTCAGCGCTGCACGGAGGGACACCCCCCCCAGCACCGGCTAGGAGCCTGGGCAGGTACGTGGCCGTCCCTGGGGCGTGGGCCGCGGAGTGGCTGGCGTTCCGGTGGCTTTGGGGTGGGATTGGCTGGCTTTTTGCTTTGTTTTTTAATTTTAAGCCAAATCCAAGCTTGGAAAAAAATGAGACGGAGAAAGTTGGCAAAGCTGCTGAGAATGGTCTGATCTGGGGAGCAAAAGAAACAAGGGGGGTTAGAAAAGGCTTCAAAATAGGGGCAAAGGTTAAAAGATCCGCTCCGCTTGGGGGGCGTTCTTGGTTCCTTCGGGGGATCTCAGCACCACCGTTCAGTTGCTGTGAAAAGAGAAGGGGCTTTGCGGCTGTCGTGCGTGAGTGTGTGTTTGTGTTTGCACGCATGTGTGTCAGTGGAGCCGTGAGTTTGATCAGGTTTGTGAGTGTGTGTGAATGTGAGCGAGTGTGTTTGCATGCGTGTGTGTCAGTGGAGCTGTGAGTTTGATCAGGTTTGTGAGTGCGTGTGAATGTGAGCGAGTGTGTTTGCACGCATGTGCCTCAGTGGAGCCGGGAGTTTGATCGGGTTTGTGAGTGCATGTGAATGTGAGCAAGTGTGTTTGCACGTGTGTGCATCAGTGGATCCGGGTTTGTGAGTGTGTATGAATGTGAGCGAGTGTGTTTGCACGTGTGTGCGTCAGTGGATCCGGGTTTGTGAGTGTGTATGAATGTGAGCGAGTGTGTTTGCACGTGTGTGCGTCAGTGGATCCGGGTTTGTGAGTGTGTATGAATGTGAGCGAGTGTGTTTGCACGTGTGTGCGTCAGTGGATCTGGGTTTGTGAGTGTGTATGAATGTGAGCAAGTGTGTTTGCACGTGTGTGCGTCAGTGGAGCCTTGAGTTTGATCGGTTTGTGAGTGCATGTGAATGTGAGCAAGTGTGTTTGCACGTGTGTGCGTCAGTGGATCCGGGTTTGTGAGTGTGTGTGAATGTGAGCGAATGTGTTCTCATGCGTGTGCATCAGTGGATCCGGGTTTGTAAGTGTTTGTGACTAAGCGAGTATGTTTGCACATGTGTGAGTCAGTGGAGCTGAGAGTTTGATCGGGTTTGTGAGTGCGTGTGACTGTGAGCAAGTGTGTTTGCACGTGTGTGCGTCAGTGGATCCGGGTTTGTGAGTGCGTGTGAATGTGAGCGAGTGTGTTTGCACGCGTGTGAGTCAGTGGATCCGGGAGTTTGATCGGGTTTGTGAGTGTGTGTGACTGTGAGCAAGTGTGTTTGCATATGTGCGCGTCAGTGGATCCGGGTTTGTGAGTGTGTGTGAATGTGAGCGAATGTGTTCTCATGCGTGTGTGTCAGTGGATCCGGGTTTGTGAGTGTGTGTGACTGTGAGCAAGTGTGTTTGCACGTGTGTGCGTCAGTGGATCTGGGTTTGTGAGTGCGTGTGACTGTGAGCGGGCGGGAGAAGCACGACGCAGGCGATCGGATGGGTGGGCATTATCGTGCCAGGGCATATGTGTGTGACATCTCAGCGCTGTTTAATGATGTGTCTCCCCTCCCCAAATAAAGGCAAACTGCCCCCCTTTTCCACACACCCCTTCCTGGCTGCTTTCCTCTCTGCCAACCTCCAGCAAACTTTGCAAAACGCAGCGGGGCCCTGGAGAGGCTGGCAGGAGGTAAATGGGGGGCTGCCCGCCGGGCAGGCTGGCACCTTCCTGACTCTCTGGCTCCGAGTTTCTTGTGTAAGTGCGTCTCATTAGGGCCAAGAGATTTCCAAGGGTGAAGGTTTCCCCCCCTTCCCGTGGTGGCTTTTGCTGGGTGACATGCAACGTGCACTTCAGCTAACAGACTTGATTAGCTGGCAGGGGGTGGGGGGCAGGGGGGAAATTCAGCTCCAGTGAGCTGATGAGCCCGGAGAATCGAGATCAATCCCAGCCGGGTGATGCCAACAGGCAAGCGGTGACTGGCATCTCATCAGCAAAACCAAATCCGATCTTGTACAAATCACATCAGCGGGAGAGGCGTTTTCCCACTCTGAATTGCTGGCGGTAATTTTCTCCAGCGTCCACTGGTTTTCCCCCGCCTCGGTGCCAGGGCGGAGATTCCGCCGGGTTGAAAAGATAATTTCAAAAGAAATAAGAAAAGAAATAGGTCTGGGTCACTGAGTGACTCTGATAGTCTCCTGCTTTTCCTCCAAATTCCCAGCACGTTCTGTTCCTTCACTTTAATGACATTGGCTTTTTTCCCTTCCAAAGTTGGGACTTTATTTTTCAGGCTTGTCAGGCAAAAACGGCTTAAAATCCAACCCGGATCTGTCCGAAATTCCGGGGAGGAGAGCCAGCCCTTGCCCCGGCCGGTGGGGATGGCGGCCGGCTTGCACTGGGCGATCTGAATTCCTCCCCGAGTCAGAGTCCAGGAGCCAAGTGATGAACTGGGACAGGCTTGGGAAGGAGGTTATTTGATGATTTCCCTACCTGGGTGTGGAGCTGCCTTAAGCGTTAGGGCACTGGCTGTAGTGTGAGCCTCCCCGCACTAGTGAGAAGCACGCCTTGCACCAATCTTACTTATACCTACACGTTCTGCTTTAGCCCCTGTGTTTGCTCCCCCCCACTTCTCCTTCGTGCCCCCCAACAAGCTGGTTTGCCTTCTAGGGCTTGATTATATAACACTCCCATTTGCAAGCGTTTCCACGACCAAGTGTGAGTAGAGGCTCTTCGCTCTTACGTTCTGCACCCGTGGAGCTCCAAGCACTGGGCCAAGGCAGGTGGGTAGCATGATCCCAATTGTACAGATGGAGAAACTGAGGCACAGAGCGGGGGCCGTGACTTGTCCCGAGGTCAGCCGGCAGCCCGGTGGCAGAGTGGGGACTAGAATGCAGTCCCGCCTCCTCGCTACTAATGAAGAACGAATCCAGCCTTGTTCTGGTCTGGAAATGCCTATATCTTTTATTGGACCGCAACCACCTTCTCTCTCTCGTTCCTTAGATTGGCCATCAGCCCCCGTCCCCGCCCTTGGGAGAGGAAAATGAAAAGTCCCCTGGTGCTGACGGTGCTGCTGTCCTTAGCGGCGGCCAAGCTGTGTCACACCTACTGCGAAGGGACCCCGGAGCAACAGACGGCCAGAGGGGTCCAGACGAAGGTAGAAAGGGAGGGAGCGGGGCTGGCTGGGGTGCAGAGAGATCTGAGTCCACGTGGCTGCCCCCGGGGGCAAAGGAATGTGAGACGTTTCGCTGACTCACCTCCCACCCTGACGCTGCGGGTCGGTGGCCTAAAGGGGGATACAATTTGGTTTTGTGCCTGGGTTTTTGGCTTTCCTGGACAACCGTGCGTGGTTTTTTTACATTAGAAATTCAGGCGGTCTCCCCCCGGGAAACTCTGTGGGGGACTAGCGATCTAGCCGGATGGGGAGCATTAGTTAATCATAAGCATTAATAAGTTAATCACTTCCTCTGCCCTGCGAGGGGAAGTGGGTTTGGGTTTCTTTTCATTCAAGATGTTTGAAGTTCTTTTGGTGGGATTTGTTTGCTGCCTTTTGCTCAGGCCTATTTAACTCCAATGCCTACGGCGTGTTTTGGAGAAAGGCGGTCGCTCTGCAAACTGGGGACAAAGCCAAACCCTTGACATTCCTGTCTGGGAAACACATCCCGGCCAAAATGTTCCCAAGTGATCCGGTCTCAGCTGGAGCCACACCCGAGTTATTGGGCTCAACCCAGGGGTAAATGGACTGAAATTCTCAGGCCTGTGCTGACCCTAAACTCCATGACAATAACGACCCGCTGACTTCCGCCGGCCGGGGATCGGGCCCCAGCATGTTTCTGATGAGCTGCCCGGAAGCTCTTTGGGAAGAGTCCCCCCCCCCCCATTTAACCCAATGAGGTGCTGGCGGCAGGCGAACCCAACTCAGCTCCGGCAGCGAGGGAGGGCTGATCCCTGCCCGGGGAATGGCATTTAGGGAGAGAGCACCGGGCTGTTCTGCGGGTGACCTGGCTGGAGACAAAGCCGCTGCTCTCGGGAGGTAAGTCCCCGGCTGTGCCCCCTTGGCCGGTGCTGCCCATCCCAGCCGCGATCCCGCTCTCCTGTCCCGGCACAGCTCATCCGTGGTGGCTGAAGAGTCTTGTCCAGCCCCTGCTAAGGGGAGGGCTCTCACCTGCCCTGGCTGGAACAAACGTTAGTGAATGCCCCCTCCTAGGATGGCTGGGAAGGGCAGCCAAGCCCTGGGCTTTGCTCACTCACCGGGGATCCAGAAGCCAGCCCCTGCCCCGGTCCCTAGGCACAAGCTTAGGGCACAGACCTGGGCACGCCCGTTCCGAGTCCTGGAACCTGCTGTCCAGATGCCCAGCCCCTCGGGGTGCAGCTACGACCCCTCAGACTCACCGGGATTTGAACTCACCCCACTCCCAGAGCTGCGCCCCACAGGTACCACACTACTAAATTACGGGGGGACTCTCTGGTGGGGGCACGCAGGAGATGTGAAGCAGTCTGCACGCGCACACACACAGAGCAGGGCCTGTCCCCTCCAGCAAGGGGCAGCAGGATGGACACACACACACACACACACACACACACACACACACACACACACACACACAAGTATGCGCGCTCTTACCCATC